AGATTAAGTGATTGTGTAATGTGTATGGTAGTGGAAGGTATACCAAAATATTAACTAAAGGTAAAGGTAGTGGGTAATTGGCTTATGAGGGGAAATCTATTTGTCATACTAGTTAGATAAGTCTGGGAGCTAAGATCGCTTATGTAAATGTATTATGACGAAATCGTTGACTCGAGGAGACAACCTTGAAGGTCGAAAATATAAGGAAAGAAAATGTTCTTACTTGGTTCAATAGCCCAATAATGGAGGGTTGAAAGGTATTTTCTATGTGTTATGATTCAAATAGGTGCAACGCATGTCCATGTATCAATTTTGATAGTATAATACATGTAGTATTGAGATTTATGTAATTGATATGCATTGTGATGCTTTGCCAAGTTGTGGATGTGTTGTTAGGATGGTTTTGGTGATTCTCTAGCAGGTGGATAGGCCCGATTACAAAGGAAACTCTGCTGAAATTTTTGAAAAATTCGGAACTTAGTAAAAAAAATTTCGCCTAAAGAGTGGGCTTAACTGTTGTGTGAGTGAATGCAAAAATTGCAGAAGAGTTAAAATTTCCAATGATTCGTGTTTCCACAAGCTTATGAAGGAGTGTGTTTAATCTCACCATGGCATTACGACAACAATAGAGTATATGTGTTGTGATCTATGGCTTCGAGCCAATTTGGGGAGTTGCTATTAAATAGGTCGATTGCACGATTATATGCTATATTGGTTCGAGTTTGATGCATGCTGGTGAATCAGTTCTGGTTATGGAAATTGGGTCGAGCATGGCATGAGTGAAGGAAATTTTTTTGACAAGATGTCATGAGCTCGGATGAGCAGGAGATGAGTTTCGATGTTTACGGTAAGTTGGTATTGTCTTCAGCGTCACCTAAGATCGGTGTTTTGTAAAAAGGATTTTGCGTCCTGGTTAAGATTCTTGATCGCTCTTCAGCGTTAGTGCGACCGGTGATTTGGAGGTACGCTCCAGATATTTTTGTGGTAGGTTGTGGGAGTGTGTCCCATGGGAAGGTTATATAAATGTGGCATGTGATCACTGGATTGATTAAAGATGTAAACCAAGTATGAAGTTTGTGATGGTGTCGTTAAATTAAAGATTCATGCCTGGAGGGCACTTGGCATATTGGGTTGTGAACTGGGGAGGATTACTCCAATTGTGATGGTTGTTCTTGTGTTTTATGAAGAAAATGGAAGTTATTATGGACCTTTGAAAGGTTATCAAACTAGTTCAGTGTGATCAGAATCATCTTGAAGTCGGTGAATGGATTTTATGTGAATAATGGCTCTACAGGCCAGATGTGTTCATTTTAGTAATTCGGTCCTCATGGAGGAGTAGTTAGGTTGATGTTTCTTGTCAGATATTTCTCTTAGTGATGCATTGCGTTGTGTGAGCTGTGAGACGACTTGAGAAATTGCTATGTGTTGAGAATCCGCGTAGGAATGACATTATATGAGCATCTTGGTTCTTGAAATTCAGATTGTACATCGCACCTCAGTTGTGCTTGAGTTTTGTAGCTTATAACGCTATATGTCCCTCAGAGATATTATTATGCACTTAGCATGCTTATGACCGATACTCGGTATTTTGTTGTAATGAGCAAATTTTGGCTCGATATGCATCTCCTTATGTGAGATCTATGTGTGGATCGGGTGGCACGCCGCCACGGGTATGTTATCTAGATCGGGTTGTACGCCGTAACAGTTTGATGTTGAGTATAGTTTTCTATATGCTATTTTGTATGCCTTGCTTCCTCTTTTCTAAGGAAAGTCCGTATTAGTGCGAGGGATTGGTAATTCCTTCTAGAGATCATTTTCTTTTTGTATCGCGTTCGAATTGGTAGCCTATTGGCATATTAGGGCATCATATGCGGCTTTTGATTATGTCTGGGGTGGCTTATTGCTTGAGCAGTTCGTAATGGGTGAGACGAGATCATTGAATTCGAGATCCGTGCGATCTCAGTATATGAGGTAAATTAAGGAGCTAAGACCATTGTTTGGTTCAGAATGAGGTGATAGTTCTTGCCGGAGGTATAGACCCAATAAATTGTTGATTCGGCGGTGTTATGAGTTTATACAGATCTTATCCGTCGTGTCGATATTGTAAGAATTTGAACAAGACCTATGTATGTCAGCAGAGCATGGGATGTGTAATGATTTTTCTTCTAGATGGGATCAATGTAAGTTCTTGACTAGTTGAGTACGTAAATGTTCATGGTTCGGAAGGGAGGTGAAGTCCTCATGTTACCTTAGGATGATATGGTATATGCGATATGTTGTGAAGGATTGAGAATTGCGTGTGTAAGGTTATGGTTCAGTTCTGAATGGAAATTCATAACATTCTTAGGCAGTACGGGCAGCTTTGGGTGATTAGAGAAATGAGCTTCAGATGATTAGGTTGAATGATCTTCAGATGATTAAGGAAATTTTACTTCTAATCATAGTGATTTGTAGAGGTTACATGTTTCAGAAAAAGGCCAATGTGATTAAGTTGATGGCACTTCAATAGTATTGGGGTCAGGTATGATGATGCGTGTGCTATATGGAGTTGGAGACTGGGAGTTCTCATGTACAGGCTATATTGTGGTTGTGGATCGTGTGCGTCGGTATTGTTTAACGACTATCAGGATTTGGAGGCTCGAGTGGATCTTTACTTGCTGGTATGTTAGATTTTGTATGTGATGTCAGAATTTAGACTGGTTGTCTTAGCGTTAGGCAATTCTGAACTATTGTGCCATGGGCTATGCCGGAAATGCCACGGGTTGAATGGCGAGGTGAGTTGGATTATGTTCTATCAGGTTTGCGTGGTATGTGTTATTTGTTTCACCGTGGGTGTAATGATTTGCTCTGGCTCCAGCCATCAATTGAGCATGGTTGTTGATTTCAAGCATAGTGACTTGGGGTGTTTCATGTGGAGTATTATTTGGATAAGATCGCGCGTTGCAGCAAAGCGGTGTGGAAACATGACCTTGCAGGTCAAATTTGTGTGTCCTATTTCTATGATGTGAGATAGGTCTCAGCCTTGTGTTGTGGAAGTACTAGTGAATTTGAAGTACAACTCTCTCAGCTGAGTCAATTTCATGATTTGAGTATGTTCGAACCATATCTTATTGGTGCGCGTATTATGCAAGTTGTGGCTTAGGCCTGTATTGAGGTGTCATATCACCAGAGTGGTGTGTTGGATTCGAGGGGATCGTTGGGGGCAGTGATGAATACGAACATATTTGATTTCGGCTTGTTATAAGGATAATATCGAGGTTCGCCTCGGAAAATCTGTTGTGGTATTAGTCAAAAAGGAAGTGGCTTCATAAGTGGTTGATCTGAGAAATGGTTATGGTTTTCTGCGTGTCTCATTTATCGTTGGCAGTATATGAAAGTGTTGGAATAAGACTTTAGCTAATAAGGGATTTTTTACCGGTATTCGGGTGTTGTGGGCAACTCCTGTGAATATAAGTTATCGTTACGAGTGTTTGGTTATGTAGTATATCATATGATTGCACCTGAGGTTGCAGGTATGGGTTATTACAGCTGGTTCAGGCTTGTTCGGAGTATAGATGTGAGGTTCTGATCCTGTGTATGATTTCGGAAAGTGTAGTGTGGTTCTATGTGTCACACCTCCTTTTTTCGCCCCGCGAAGGGTGAAGGAGTTTTTTCCAATTAAAGGACAATCGAACGGGATTTGTTTATTTATTTCAGAGTCGCCACTTGGGAGATTTAGGGCGTCCCAAGTCACCGGTTTAATCCCGAATCGAGGAAAAGAATGACTCTATATTACAGTCCGCGAACCAGAAATCCGGATAAGGAATTCTATTAACCCGGGAGAAGGTGTTAGGCATTCCCGAGTTCCGTGGTTCTAGCACGGTCGCTCAACTGTTATATTCGGCTTATTTTATCTGACTTTAACAATTATGCACTTTTATGCAAGTTATAACTCTTTTACCGCTTTTGTTATTGTTATTATTATTTTTTTAGCAAAGAATTGCAACGTTGTGAAAATGTATCTCGAACCACGTCACAATCAATGTACCCGTGGTTATCGACACATTTCGACTCCGTCGAGATTTGGATTTGGGTCACATAAACGCGCACCCGAATTTAAGAAAGTAATTTATTAAAGACGCGCCCTAAGCGACTAGCGTATCGTTATTTTGGGTAAGGCCGTAAAATTTTGCTAAACGGCCCGTCCCGAAGTCTAAGTAACTTTACAATCACATATAGAGGGCCCCGCAGCTTGTGTATTTTTGTTTGGCGAGGCTCGTCTCATTTGTTATATTTTTTAAAAAAAGAATTGCAACGTCATGGGAATGCATCTCGAACCACGTCACAATCAATGTACCCGTGATTTGTCGACGCATTTCGACTTCGTTGAGATTTGGATTTGGGTCACATAAATGCGCACCCGAGTTTTAAGAAGGTAAAGTTATTTAAAGCGCGTACCTAAAGAGACTAACGTATTATTATTTTTGGGAAAAGGCCGTGAAGTTCACTAAGCGGCCGATCCCGAAGTCTATCCAATTATTATGTCCATTTATTGAGGGCCCCGCAACTTGCGATTTATTTGGCGAGGCACGCCTCATTTTATTTTAAAGGATCATCCTATAGTGACTATGTTTTCCTATTAAGCTTGTCTCTAAAAGAAATGAAAGAAGAAAAAGATCCTAATTAAATTACATGCTTTAAACTTGTTATAGTCGGGTTCCCAACGCGGTTTGCTAAATCAGAAAATAAACGCAGTAAGGGCAGTCCGTTTGCCAATTATGGGCCCAGCTCCAGCGCATATAGTATTAAATGGGACCTGGGCCATCTCGTCCCAATAATGGGCCTAGTTAAATTACTCTACACTTTATTCACAGTATTGCAAAGCTAAAATGTATAACATGCTTCCTAATCAAACAATATTACTACAAGTTTCAAACGGGCAACTTATTGAATGAGGTAACTTAAATTGTTTGGCATTTAAAACAATCTAAACGGCCTAACATGCTTTTGAAGTATGCTACTCACCAAACAAACTGAAATAACAGAATATGTTACTACACCATCAATCTTTTTTTTAAACTAAGCATACATGGGAAGTTTGCTAACTAAATTACTAAAATAAAAAAAAAAACTGTCCAGTTATACAGTTCTATGGCAGATTTTACATGAACAATAGTGTCAGAACAACCTAAGTAACAATCAGTAACAAAGCTAAATCCAATTAAAACTTCAAACTCTTCATTCGTATTTTTGCTTCATGTTATCAGCTTACAATGTGTACCAGTTGTGTACCTGATATTAGAAGCAAAAGAAGAAGAGGAGTGATCAGCAGGGTGGCAGTAGCAATACACAGCAACAACAACAACAAATGACCATCAATAGACAGCAAAACCCAATAACCAACAGTAGCAGAAACCCAGGAACCAGATTCAAAAACCAAGCAGACACCCAGGACACTCGATGAAACAGTGTAGATAACCAACTAGCAATCCAGGAAAAACCAATTTGAAACCCAGCAGTACCAAAACAATCACTGGCAGAATGCACGTTGAATCAGAAGCCAAAGAACAAATGGAACAGTTCTGATTCTGTTCTTTAACACTGAAACAGGATCACTCTCAAACTACCTGAACTTTTTGTGTAAGAATTCAGCCTATATTACTCACTGATTACCTAGCTTCTTGGGGTAAAAAGCCAGAACACTCTATATCTCCGGAGTTTTTATGTTAAAATTCCAGCCTAGACTCTCTGAAAATAAACTGACCTTCTAAGGTTGAAAGACCAGCCTGCTCTTAGTCAAAAATGGCTCTACTTATAGCCTAAGACAGACCTCTAAGGTCTGTCTTGAAACCCACAGGACTAATCCTGCCCATTCCCCTTTGATTCCCATGCCTAAGTGTCTTGTTCTTGTTTTAATTCATGTTCCCCACTCTTGGTTCACTAGTGTTTCAATCAAGGGTCATGGGTTGATTAAAGTATTACTATTAACTCCCCATGCTCTTTTGTTTGGTTCCCCATTCCCTATTAAACTAAGGTATCTAATTAACCACTTGACAGCCCCCTTAAGTTGTTCTAATTACTGCCCTGTTAATTCCAAAATTACCCCTTAATTTCCCTGTATATTACTGTATTACCCTAAGATTTACAAGTCTGATGTTAGAACCTATATAAGCTTAAACCTATCAAGCTGGTTTCTAGTTAAAAACCTAAGTTACTACAGCTATAGCAAATTCACAACCTAAGTTCAAACTCAAAAATCAGATCATAACAGGGGTGTTAATCAAATGGCATGAATTGGTCATATTGGGAACCAATCCTGACCAATTCAAAACCAACTGATCAATCAGGTATTTGCTAATACAAGCTAAGATTGAAGCAATACTGATCAAGGCATATCAATACAAGTTTTAACACAGACAAGAGAAACATGCTGGTAATCATACTGGAACGAACAAAATCATACTTCTCTAGTTTTTTAAGCAAATTAATTGATGACACTTATTTAATCGACTATACAAGCTATAACAGATAACAAACAAACAATGAACACACAAGCTAACAGGTTGATTCATGGCTTTGGGACAAAACAGGGGACTTATGAAACTATCTATTCGACGACATTATTCGAATCGAATATATAATTTATGAACAGATACAATTAACAACAAACATAGAAAATCGACCAAATAAAAAGGTCACTTGAAGATGGACAGAATAAATTGAAAGACAAATCGAAAAATCAAATAAGCTAAACTAAACACGTAACCAGACATTAATAGAACACCAACAGAACAAAAGGAAAGGAAAAATTACCTCCGAAACTTAAAATTAGACGGACCCAGGCTCAAGCTCAGACTTCGACCAGTTTGAGGTCGAACGGACCTTAGTCGAAGTGTTCTCAACTGAGAACACTCCGATTAAGGTCGATTAGACCCCAAATCTCTATTTAATTGGACAAACTTCAACATTTGGTTTTCTAGGGTTCTTGAGGGTTCGATTTGAGGTTCGAACAGTTCTGGTCAGATTCGAACCAAACCAAGAGTGGTTTGGTAACGAGGGAGGTCAGGGGAGTGTCTGGTGTGAGTTTGAAGTGGATTGGGATAGGTTTCCGTTTGGCTTGAATCTTCAAATGAAGATTCGAGAAGATGGGGGAAGATTTGAGCCAAACGAGTGGTGGAATCGTGTTTAGGGTGGTTGAGTGGCTTAGGGGTGTTAAGATGGTGGCCAGCGGCGTTGTTGCCGCCGGGTTTTGGGCGAGGGGACCTTTCGGTGAGGGGTGTTTGGTTCCGTCTCTGAGTTAGAGATGATGAACAAGGGGATTGGTTTAGTGGGGGGGCTGGGTAGGTATTAGGCTTATATAGTGGAGGGGGGATTGATCTTGGCCGTTCGATCAAGCGAGATCGACGGCCTGGATCTCTCACTTAAGAGAAACGACGTCGTTTGGTTAAGTCGTGAGTATGGGTTGACCCGGGTCGAAATGGACCGGGTTGTGAGGGGAGCCTGGGACCGTTGGATCAATGGAGATGAACGGCTCCGATTAAACATACATGAAACGACGTCGTTTCAACTTAACAGGGGCTGAACTGGACCGTTGATTTGAAACAAATCAACGGCCCAGATACGAAATGCGCAAACGACGTCGTTTGAGACGTCTGAGAGATCAGGCCTTGGACTGGGTTATTTAAGCATTGGGCCTGATTTCATTTCTAATTTTTTGGGCTCAATCCGAGTTTTCTTAATTTTTCAACTCTTTTCTTTTTCTTCTTTTAATTAACAAATTTAACAAAATTCTAAAATAAATTGTAAGACCAAAATTAAACTACAAAACATTAATTAACCCTTAACAACAATTAACACACAAGTTAAAACATTTAATTAAAAATAAAATCACACAATGGCACATTTAAATGACAAAAATAGAATAAATGCATATTTTTGTGATTTTCCCTTTTAAAAATCAAGTTATGGTTTAATTAATTCCTAAATGCACAATTAAATCCTAAATATGCATGCAACGTGTATTTTTGTATTTTTTTCCATTGATTAAACAAGATAAACATTCATAGACAAAAATAATTATCCAAAATGTTCACGCAAAAATTCTCAAAATTGTACCCAAGGCAATTTGCTTTATTTTTTCGATTTCTTTTGGAGTAATTTTCGTGAAGCAAAAGTCACGTGCTCACACTATGGTTTATGGACTAGATGGATTGCGAAATTTCAGCTATGTTGTGTTATCGGACCTATATGAGATAGGGTGACGTGGGATCACCCTCGGGTATATGCTTAGTAAGGTTATTCAGCTATTGGTTGGCTTCTAGGATAACCCTGGGTACGCTCGAGGACGAGCGTTCGTTTAAGTTGGGGAGAATGTGACGACCCGACCCGTCGTCTCGGGAGTAACTACTCTGTTCTTCCCATTTTCTGCTTCCTTATATTTCATTATCAGTATTGGGTGCGTTAGAATTTAATTGGAGTGATTTTATTAAGAAATGAGACACTTAGTCTCTTTTAAGAAGGCTTAAGTTGGAAAAGTCAACCGCATGTTGACTTGTGAGTTAGAGGGCTCGGAAGTGAATTCCGATGATTCGGTTAGCTCCGGGTGATGATTTAAGGCTTAGGAGCGCAATCGGAAGAAATTTTGGAGGTCCGGTGAAGAAGTTAGCCTATTTTGGCGAAGTTAGTATTTTGGCGATTTCCGGTTGATAGGTGAAATTTTGATCTGGGAGTCAGAATGGAATTCCGAGAGTTTCAATAGCTTCGTTAGGTGATTTTGGACTTGTGTGCAAAATTTGAAGTCAATCGGACGTGATTTGATAGGTTTCGGCATCGGAAATAGAAGTTGGAAGTTCTAAAGTTCATAAAGCTTGGATTGGGGGTTGATTCATGATTTTTATGTGATTTGAGGCCTCGAGCAAGTCCATAATGTATTTTGGGACTGGTTGGTGTGATTGGTCGGGGTCCCGGGGGCCTCGGGTGTGTTTCGGGTTGTGATCACGCTCTTATTTGATGTTCTAACGCCGTATCTTTGGGCATAAAGGGGTACCATATTAAGTAAATGAGCTCCAAATTATGTTTTTATTGAACCATTAGATCCGTATCGTAATTTCGGAGCCATAGCAAAAAGAATCGTTGAATTTGGACATCGTATGAGGGAGTTATGCTCATTTCCATGTCGGGAGAATCTGGTTGCTGTCAAAAACGCAGAGCGAACATTGACCCGGATGCGGGACCGCAAAAGCGGAAATAGAACCGCAAAAGCGGTCCCAGATATGCGAAAAATGTCCGCATAAGCGGAAAGGTCCGCATAAGCGGAAAATGGGCCTGGGCAGAGACTTTAAGTCCCGAAAATGGCTATTTCTCCACCATTTTAAGTCAATTTTGAGAGCTTTTGGACGGGGATTTAAGGGAGTTTCAACCAAGATCACTTGGAGGTAAGTGTTATGAGTTAAATACATGATTTTATTGAAGAATCATCCTTGAAATTCATGAAAACATAGCCAAATTGTAAGAAATTAGGGCTTGAGATTGAAATTATAAAATGGTGATTTGAGGGGTCAAATGAACTCCGATTTTTTGTGAATTTGGTATGTATAGACTCGTGGCGAGATAAGGATCGTATTGATGTAAAAATTTCTGGATTTCGAGACGTGGGCCCGGGGCTCGGGTTTTGCAAATTTCATGGTTTTCGATATTTTTCGAGTCTTTTCGATTGGGTATTGTCTCTTTAGTATAATGCAACACATTCGTTGTCATTTTGGGCAGATTCGTCATGCGAGGAAGCAAATTCGAAAGGCAAGGGCATCGCGGAGTAGTCTTTTGGCCGTCGTGAGGTGAGTAATGATTTTAAATGATGTCATGAGGGTTTGAAACCCCGGATTGCACAACATACTGCTATGTTGAGATGAGACACGCGTTGTATGACGAGCGCGGGGTCGGTTACGGTTGGGGATTGTGACTTGATCCATCCCGGTTGGTATTTTACCGCGTATTTGATAAAGACTTGTTGTTTTTCACTATGATTTGGGCTTATTGCCATACTTGGGCTTCGTGCCAATTATTTGAAATCCTTTGTAAATTTCCATCACTATTTTCCTCACTAATTGAAATATTATTTGAACTCAGTCCAATTGAATTATACTATTTCATGAACTCAGCTACATTTATATTCAATTTGAGATTTAATGATATTTATAATGTTGTTGAGCTGAGTACCAAGGTTTTACTGATGCCCAAGGGGCTTATGATTATTTTCTGGACTGATTGAGGCCGAGGGCCATATGTGAGGCTATGTTGAGTGATGTGAGGAGGCTTTCAGGCCTCGAGTGTGATGTGTGAAGGCTTTAAAGCCTTATGATATAGCGCTTGGGCTGTAGGAGCCCCTCCGAAGTCTGTACATACCCCCAGTGAGCGCAGGGTACCTAGGTGAGTTGGGAGTGGTCCCGAGAGGCCGTTGTTTGTGTTTGGTGAGTCGGGAGTGAGCCCGAGGGGCTGAAGTTGTGTGCTGGTAAGTTCGGAGTGAGCCCGTGGGGCTGATACTGTAATGAGAGTTTGATATTGAGCCCGAGGGGCAAGCTTTTGATTATTCCTTACTTGTTGAAATTGTTGTTTTCACTGTTTTAAAAAGAGAATTTATCTGATACCTTATGGCTTTGTTGTATAATTGATTTTACTGCTTGAGATAATGTTATATTGTGCCTTTATGAGATTTCATGCTTTCAGTCATTATTTATTTTTATTACTCACTGGGTCGGAGTACTCACATTACTCCCTGCACCATGTGTGCAGATACAGGCAGAGCTGAGTTCGCTCCTGAGCGCTGATTCTTTCCAGACCAGGCGGTGACTAGGAGTAACGAAGTAGCTGTTGACGTCCGCAACTCCGTTTTCTCTCTTATCTTTTGTTATTTATGATAATTCCAGACTTTGTAAAATATTAGTAAACTCTGTAGTAGCTCATGACTTGTGACACCCCGATTTCGGGCTGAGTCGGGATGGTTCTTATTGTTCTATCACGTTTACTTCGCACTTGTGATTATATTATCTGTGAATTAGACTTATCCCTGCTAAGTAATTATAAAGAAATGTATTGTTTTGTTGTTGGCTGGCCTTGTCCCCACGAAAGGCGCCATCACGATCGGGTTGAGATTTTGGGTCGTGACAATCCAGGGTAGAGAGGAGAAGAAAATCCCACATTTTCAAGAAGTACTACTCATTGTTTTAGCATTAGCACATTGGACATGCACAAAGAATTATAGAAGTCAGTAACAATGCGAAAACAGTTATGAAAGGACAATTACAATAAATTGCAATATCTGAATCAAATTTTGTAGACACACTTACAGGTTTGTATTTTAGCACTGCATATCCTTCCTGTTGCACTAAAATGAATTTCCATCAACTTTCCCTACAGCCATCAGGGGCAACTGTCAGAACAAGTGCAACAAATGGGGAAATAAAGGAAGGTAAACGAGAAAAGAATCAGGCATAGAGACTGACAAATCGACTAGAGTTGTTGTTCTTAGAAGTTTTGGCATTCCCAAAGGCCTCCAGTATGTAGCTTGTTTGCAGCACCTCGCTCTCTATTCCACTACGGCCTCCACCAATCATAGCCAAGTATTCCATTGCAATCTTTGCTGTTTCCGTCTTCCCAGATCCACTTTCCCCACTGTATGATATAAAGAGAAACTAGTTCCTCCCAATCACTAAAATCACCATGATTTGATAATTACTATCTAAGAGATCAATCACTGAACCAGAGTAGAAATACACACTAAGTATCTCGCAACACTAAAGATAACAAAGAAATTTTCACCAACCTTATGATAATATATTTGTATGGGTCCAAATTTGGCCACCGCGACCATTATCGAGTAGGTCGAGGAACGAAGTCATCGTGATGCACCGTCTGATGGTCGTCGTGGTGAAAGTCAACGACCAATGGCGGTCAGTTGATGATGACATCCACTATAGTGCGAACTTAGTAGGGGACAGTAAGAATATGCTTTTCGAATATACTCTATGTTTTACTTTTTAGGGTTTCTTGGGAGATTGCCCCTTATAAATAGGAAGAGTGAGCAAAGAAAAGGGGCACGGGAGAGAAAAGACAAAAGAACACTTTGTAAAAGAATCATCTGAGAGTGAATACAAAACCATCTTTGTTCATTGATTGCACAACAAAAGTTTACATCATTGCACAATATAGAGAAGATCCAAAGATTCCACAATCATCTCATATTAATTCCTTCCCTATGCCGAATTGCATCTACTAAGATTGATTGTGCATTTAAGTCTTCACATTTATGAGCATTTATTTGATTTCAACATATTAGTTACATCATTCATCTTACTTACTTCTTCTATCGCTTGATCAAGATTTTATTGTGCTTGACTAAGATTGATCTCATCATTATCATTAATTATTCTAATCAAAAAGGTTTTGACATCTTTTGGTCAAATAATTTGGCGCTGTCTGTGGGGACATCTTTAGTTTAGATTTCAGTTTCATCTAGATCATACAAAGGGATAGTCACCTCTTCCTAGCTTTGCACAAACTAACAATGGCAGGAAAAGGAGATGCAAGGTTGATGGGTATAATTTATTCATATATTTTTATATGTTAAATATTAAAGATTTTAAATAAAACATGAATAAATATATCGTGTTCTCCCATACTTTCTAACATACTTTGCAGGAGGAAGAGCGTAAGAAAATTAAAGAAAAAAAGCAAAAAAGAATGAGAATTGAGTAGTCAACCGGGAATGAAGAAGCAAAAATAGCACCATAGTTGCAACAATGGCAATTGAAATTCATGAAGCAAATTACATAAGTTGCAACTAGCAAAGTATAGTTGAGACTATGGTTCTTCCTCCGTAGAATGAAACACATTTGGCAAAGTCAAAGTTGCAACTACAATTTTCATAGTTGCAACTACAATTTCTATAGTTGCAACTATGGAAAATCCTAGGCCAAAAAAACTCTATAAATAGAGAGTGCATGTTGGAAAGAAATATAGAGTCTTGTTGGAAGAAATCACTTTATAGTCTCTCTTTGTCTTTAATATTTTCTACTAGTTGTCTTTCTTTTAGAAGAATAATATCACTTCATAAGTTCTTTGTTTTAAATTATTTTTTCTTACTTCATAATGGAGTAACTTCTTTTGTCGGGATAGTTGATGAAACTTGATATATATATATATATATATATATATATATATATATATATATATATATATATATATATATTATAATACTATCTCAGTTTTAATACATTCTTGCTTTGAAACTTTCTATTCATATTTTATATTGTGCTATAATAAT